TTAGCATGCCAGATATTCATGGTCGGCAGAACTGCAAAAAAATTTATAAAAGTGATCACACGCAAACGTACCAACCTTAAAACTTTATCTTCGCACGGGATGAGGGTGAAAAACAAATCGAGTACAGCCAACGCATCGATAATTTTCCGATTGCGCAACGTGACTAACGCCTTGCAAAATGCTAGTCGAACCTAAAATTCAGTTCATGTCAGACAAGAAACGACGATACGGAGGCAGATGACTGGCTCCGACAGATCTACAGTATACATCGACAACATGAGCGAAAGTATCCCAACAATAAAAACTGAAACTGGCAGAGCTTTTCAGTACAAAATCGCTGAAAAGCAAGATGGTTCAAGTCAGCAAGATAAGAAACACATGCAACAAAACAAATCCGACATTCCCTGACAACTGGTAACCATCCCTCGCTGGCGAGGAAGAGTGGCGCTGCACATCAACACTACGCCGCTCATTCCACACACTTTTCAAAAAAATCAGATTTTCCGACTTTCGAAAAAGAAAAATCAGTTCTGGAATACCTCCGGATCAAGCGCGGTTGCTCGGCTACTAAGTATCTCAGCAATACTTGTCGCATAACGCTTCCCTTCGGCTGAAAAAACTTCACAAATAAAAACATCACACATGCAATACGACCAGAAATCAGTAACAATCAAATAATGAATTCCAGAAGAAACTTCCCTGTGTCCACGACTTCTCCGTATCAGAACACAAGAAGTGCAATATTTCTATTGAGAGCTTTTACAAGCATTACCAAAAACGTTCTACAAAAACTGGAACAGCAGAGGGAATTTGTATCGATCGTGTGGTATTTCAAATGCTCATTTTCGAAAGCAACGCTGTGTTCATCGCGGAGAATGTGTAATCCGCTAAGTGAAATTGCGATGACTGTAAAGAAAACTGAGCTTCAAATTTATGGAGAAAAAAACAAAAGGATGAAGAACGTGTGATGCTCTTAGTTCGTCATGGGACTCCAGAATCAGTCCGATGAACAAGTACCTAGTGAGACAGGTGCCTAGTGAG